TCTCATGATCCCATGGTGCAGCTGGGAGGCAAATCAAGCCAAGTACTCAATAAAAGAGGTGGGGTACACCCCTTCCATACTCACGCAGGCCGTCAGCATGTGTAGCTTTTCGCGACTCTTACTTGGAGCATCATCTAGCCAATGTTGACTCAGCATGGGTCATTTGGCCAAGCCGTTTGGGACCTGCGCGGTCCTACCATGCGCTTGCTTCTACCAGGCCTAAGGTCTTAATGCTTTCAGTAGACCATACTTGCGAACGCTTCTTGTATCCGGCCAGAATGAACAACACACCCTCATTCCAGCGCTTTTCAAAATTGGGGACCCTCAAAACCATTCTTTCAGATTGCCTCACAGCATCCCAAAAGGGTCCCGAAATTTTGCGAGACCCACCCCCCCACATGAGTCACAATCAATACCCGGTATTAAAATGCTTGACCCAGAACCATGTAAGGAAATACAAAGGTGGCTGAGACTATTTATGGCTGGGATTGGCCCTTACTAACCTTCATCTGCCCGGGTTTTGATTGTGGCTCACATGTCGAAGACTCCTTGTTTCTGCCGATATAATATATGCACCCGTGGCCATGTCGCGTCCCTGGAAGGGGCTGGCGGCAAAATAATTTTGCCACAACCATCAGTGAAGTACAGCGAACCAACTCACAAATTTACTTCATGCCTGCAAACATGACAGCACCCCATCCAAAACCCCCCACCCCCCCACCCCTCCCAAAGAAAACCCAAAAAAACTCAGCCCACCGGGCCCTGCCGCCCGCCCATCCGGGCCCCGCACACGCCCAAGGTGGCGCCGAGCACCGCGGAGGCGGAGGTGGCCAGCCAGCCCTGCAGCGCGTTGATGCCCAGAGCCACGCCCACCACCGCCAGGAGCACCAGCACGGACTCAGCGCAGGCACCGGGCGCTAGGGTCGGTAGGGTCGGGGCCCATGGCCATGGTGTGTGTTTCACGTGTTGTTTCCTCGGTCCTGTTCAAAAAGACAGGAAACAAAGGGCTTGCCGGCAAAACTTTGCTAGTTTTTGTCAAAGTTCGGGGAAGGGGATGTGTTTGATAGGACGTTTATAGAACTCTTTCATTATTTTAGGGATTATTGTCTGCTGGGTCCCTATTGGCAAACTCGTGGAGACGGGGAAGAGAGGGCACCATTTCTCTGAAGGGAAGAGCAGGAGGGAAGCAAGAAGCGTCCGCATGGATGCTTGAAGTGCATTGAGTAAAATATATTGAAGATTACATCGTCGAGTCGAACTGAAAAAAAACACTTAAGGAAGGCATGGCTGTGGCCGTTCTATCAAAGAGGGGCCATATTATATGGGCCATATTGACATAGTTCTCAATTCATTGGGTTGCCTGCACTGGACTGACTCGATCATTCAAAGGAAACCAGTTGCAGCACAAGGAAGGAAAGGGTTGGACTATGCCCTATGAGAAATGTTTGGGTGGATGACCGCAGACCCTTTGTTTGAGCCGGGTTTCCGTTCAGCACTTTTGAGCAAGCATTTCCCAAGCTAATTGTCTCCAAGAAATCTAGGGCGGAAATGTCCTAGCAAAGAGCTCCGGGGATATCCACAACAGCAACCGCCGGAACCCTAGCCGGCGCCTATCAGACCCCAAAGCCTTCAACTGTTGGGGAAAAGAAGTAAGTGTTGGGGAACGGACCATAACATCCCATAACCGCCTTGCGAACGAAGAGAAAACGAGGGTGTCTGAAGCTCTGTGGGCAATCAACTCCCCTCGGTCCAATGCAAACCGCCGACTACTACAAGAGCAGCCGTGAAAACCCATGAAGGAACCAGTGTGGAAAGCGCAGATAAAGCAATGCCTGGAGCATGATGGCGAAACCCGCTCCTTTGCCAGCCAACAGCCGAGGCACGATGCATCCGCAGCAGCAACAACAGCAGCTGGAACATCCGGACTTCGCGTCACGCCTGATAAAAGGGGGGCAGCTGCCTTTGGGCTCTGGTATCTTCTGGTGCCAGATGTGACAAGCAGTTGAAGGAGATGTCAGCACTTTGGAAGGAGGCCTAGCCTGCTCAACATTGAAAGGATGTCTGGGATGACCACAGCAAACAATTAATTTCCTCTGGAAAGGTAACCTTCCTCCTGCAAATGGACGCATGATACATCTCAATGGTCATGGCCACGGTTCGCCCTATTTCTGCTGCTGAGATATAGGTTGGGGCAGCTCACTCAATTCACAGCCCCTGCAACTCATGCTCGGGGAGTGAGGAGATCTATGTTGAGCATGGCAAAAGTGTACGGTCGACCAAAACATGCTCTTTGAGTACACTGGATTAAGCATGTGCCCTTCGGCTAGTGAGGGACACGGCAATTGTATGCGCATGGCTGCCTGATTCCGCAAGAACCTTCCCTGGCCGAGTCAACGAAATACAACAGGACTGGAAATTGGCTAAGCCCCTAAGCAGAGGGAATTTATACGTGAGAGAGATGGAGATGCATCATTTGCGGAAATCTCACAGCAGCGCTGTGGATCAGGGGAGAATTTCTGTGCTGGCTCACACTACAGGCTGAAACCACTAGCAGACAAGGCAATGCGACAAGGCAATGCAACTTGTGACTCGACTTCTGAAAGATGCTGCGGGAAGGCTGCGGGAAGGCGCCAATCTATCGTTGATGTTCCCCGACTGGTCTCTTTCGATCCTTTCACCACCCGAATGCACAGAATCGAAGATGAGCACAAGAGCGATGGTCGATCGACCGCTAGCAAAGCGAGTGCACTAAGCATTCGGAAAAAGCAACTGTCAAGATAGAGGAACAAGACCAGAAGAATCCAGACCCCCAACATACGCACTGGAGCCTGTCAAGTGGCGCCCTGAACCATCGAGCCCAACCCCCTAAAGCCGCGCACGACCTTGCACAAAGAAGGTTCCACATTCAGGATGCAGGCATTGTTAAGCACAGATAGGGGGGCTCTCCTGTATGAACTGGTCGTCTGCCGACCTCCCGCGGCCGAGAGGCGCTGCTCCGCACTTCTGGCAGTAGCGTGCGCCCGGCGCCCAACGGCGGCCACACTCGCAGAACTCCTGGCTGGTCTGGTTCAAAATTAGGGCTCGGACCCAGCAAAATGGCACCGACGTTCCTTTTCTTTGTCCTACAGCAGTGTTGGACATGGTCGTTTGGGTGTCCGGTGTGGCTCCATTGACCAAGTCTCGGTCTGGTTACTAAGCGGGTTCGTATGGCTGCACATGGGTGTTCATGCCGACAGAGCAACAGCGCTAAGCAATATTAACATGGGCCATGAGCGCTAAGCAATATTGGGCATGGGCCCCTGGGCCATGCAATGCCTTTTTACCTACATCTCAGAAACTCTTGGCGGCAAACATCCCTGAATGCCTGAATAAGCCCTTTCTTCACAACTATTCACCATGCAACCAAGGGCAGCTGTGCAGCTCACCAACCGTAGATCTGAGCACAACTGCGTGGTGTGTGGCTACCACTGCGGTCCATTGAGGAATCCAGCACTGATTACAAGGGAGGCAAAACTCATTGGGCATCCCCAAACGGTCAAATTTGACATTCACTGCAGAGTCCTCACCCTCATCCGACCTGGGCAGAAGCCGCACTGCCGGCACTGCCAAGCAACTGCAAACAAAAGGAAAATGGCATGGGCGACAGCCCATGCCAAAAGGAAAATGGATTTGGGGTGTTTTCCAAATCTGGAGTCTGCGCTTATGATCACAAGCATGACAAGTAACCATGGAACCCCTCTCCATAGATCCCCCAGGGTTCCCCTGTCAAATGTTCCCCGGTTGATGAGAAGACAACGCAATCAGCATGCCTTCCAAAGCGAGCCCCAAACGCGGCCGTGGAGCATAGAGTCCGAGACAAGCGCTCGCTTCTCCATGTCGGACTTGTATGCCATGGCTGGAAGTGCCCCCTTTTGATGAAACCCAAGTCAGGGGACGAAGTCTCACAAATCGTTGGGTCAGCTGTTTCGAGTCAGGGAAACACATCTTTCTGCGCTGGCATGAAACAAGTGCTGCTCATGGTGGGTTTGTCTGGAGAACCCAAAGATCAGCTTGCATTCTGGGCAAAGTAGCAGGGAGCCATAAGCTCCAGCGCTTGCTGTAGACGGGAAGGAAAAACAGCAAATGAACAATGTCGAATGATCTGTGCGAGGCCAAGATACAACTGTGCTCCAAAAGATGCGGGACCAGTGGAATGGCAATACGTCCATTTTGCGCTTGGTTGACCATCTCAACAGGGTTTGGATCGTGTGTGGAACAGACCCATCATCAACATAGCATCCGCTCGTGCTGCAGGTGCTAGCTTGAGCCGACAAAAAGGAAAACAGGCTAATGTTGTAGCAAGGGCCTCATGATTGTTGCTTGGATCCAGCTTCCGAGCGCAGTGTCGAGATGTCATCCTGAGCCGTCACTGGCTCTGTAGTCACGAGAAAACCAGCAGCCATGTCCACGATTACATCAAGAGGGTTCGCGATTGAAACCCCTCTCAGAAAATCAGTCTCAAGTAAACCAGAGGCTGCGGGTAATTTGACAAAACCTCACGTGTTTTCGTTCGCCCTCTAAAGTGTGACCCCTCATTCGGAACTGGTGCTACAAAAGGATATACTCTGAATCCGCTGACATTCTCGGCGTGCCGGACACCTGCTATAAGAGGACCTACCCTGAGTTTATCTGAATCTGACCCATGCAATTTGAAGGACTCCTGAAAAGGTATGATTGATGATTTACATCATGGAGGCAAAGTGCGGCATTCCAACCTATGTCAATTCAGGTCCTCGAACGTTGCCGGATGGCTGGATAACATGCCTTGTGCACATGACCACGCAAATGGATCAGGCAATGGACTAGCCCAATGGTGGGTTGCTGTGGAATGCCAATGATCCTATCAAACCAAAACAACTGGGAAGCCTCTGCCGTTCGCGGAATCACCCAAACATGTCCCGTCTCTGCCCTGCAGCCAGCACCCCGACATGAGCCGCGCCAAGCACATGGTTTCGCTGCGCCTTGTAGGTGATTCGGGAGGTGACATCGAACATGATGATTGCGCACTGACCTGCCCCAGATTAAAGCGATCGACTGACATGTTCCATGTTCTTATGCTGAGCAAAGTGCACGCACGGCCACCAGTAGCTCTGCATTCACGTTTGTGCGAAGGATGTGAAAGGAACGGCCCATCTGTTTTGTGGCGCTACATTAAATTACAGTACACAAACACACAAAGGCACGCATGCACAAGCAGCAAACATAGCAGGGTAAATCCTGAGACCTAAACTGGGTTTGGCAAACCTACAGATTTGCAACATCTGAGCTGGCGGGCCGAGAAAACGCACCGAACAACACATGCTCACTACAAACACTTGTTCATCTATCCCTTCTACCAAATGATGTCCTGGCACATCAGGCAAAGAAAGCCTGCGCCCTGAAACAATGGGCGTCCCTCCCTCATTTAGCCGCCCCATTCCCCTCAAGCAGGTTGGTCACACTATCAGAAAATGGATACTGCCTTGCAAGGCGACTGTTCGTCACCCTGAAAGCAACTTCGAAACGAAACTAAGCGGTTTTGCGGCTTTATAGTCATCATCCTCTGTCTTGCTGAGTGCTTTGTGCGTAACATTGCTATACTGCTTGTCCTCTGTTTTAGCGGCTAATGAGCACAACATTATTTAAGGTCGGGTAGTCTATATCTTGCACAATCGTCTCACGCATCAGCCTTGGATGTAGTATCCATCACGAAGGCCACCAAACTTCTCCTGACACAATGATGCTGCATGATGCAAAATGCCTTTGGAGATTCCGAGAGGAGCCTCTCTCTCTCTCCCTCTCTCTCTCCAGCAAAGAGTCGCAATGCTGCTGATTGAACAAAGAACACTTTCGACCTTGCACTAGCAAAAGATGCTGATGTACGAACTGCCAACCAGACTCCGCCATCGAGAAAATCGTAGACCGCCAAAATGGTTTCCGTGTTCCTTTTGTTTCTCCTTTAAACCCGAGTAAAAAGGGCATCCGACCAACACACACACACACACACACCACACCACAGACCACACGACACACCACACACCACACAGACACCACACACTCCAAGGCGCCGAAAACGAAAGCGATCGCAACCGCGGTCCTGGCCGGCCGTGTCCCAGACGTTGAAGGTCAGCGGACCGCCTGCCGAGTTTCGACTGGAAAGCCAAAGCTTCTCATGGGATTCGGAGCCCCTGTAGGAAACCCTTCGTTGACAAGGGGCACACCCAACTTTGAAGTGAAGACGGGTGCTTTTCTCGCAGAACCCAGTATGGCTTTGGAGTTGTTGCAAGCCGTGAGGAAGCAATCCTGGCAACGTGGGGCACTGCTTGGCGTTAGCGAGTCGGTTTGGAAAGGCTGGCTCCACCTGTACCCGTGTTCCTGTCCGTGAAAACGCAGCTCGTACGGCTAAAGTATGCTCTGCTTACCACTTACTCGGGTGCGCTTTCAAGCATGTGGCATGTGCTCGCCACGCCGCCTTCCGGTTAGATTGCGCGCCCATTTGCCCAAAACCCAAGATGTTCCGGCACAGTTGGCAGCTGCTCCACAAAAATACTGTAAGTTGCGTTTGAATATCCCCGGTGGCAATAGGCATTTTACGAGGCGATACGCTCTGTTCGACACAAATGTCCAACGAGTGTGGCCTTCAGGAAGGCAACAGCAACTTTTTTCTGCTTACCCCAAACCACAAAAGATACTGTTCAAGATATCAAACAGCAATGAGATCCTTAAAAACGGAGTGAGGAACAGCCGAACAGACCAACACCACCCGTCCATCGAAACGTTCGTGGCATTCTTCTCCCGGTGCTTTGTGCTCACCGCTCACAAAGACTAAGGTGTGCCGCTTCAGCCCTCATGAACATCAGGTGGGTCCCTCTACCAGCAAAGTGCAATCATGCAGACCTTGTCAAAACCATGAGTGGGGACGGATGAAGTAGAGCATGGGCGAATGGATCGGCAAAGGAAAGGCTGGCATGATCAAACCGTACTCTGATCTACTGTACCAATGAGATCAAATATTCCTTGCAAACCAAAGGCATCACAGGGGCTCCAACAGTTGCTCGTCCTCGCCAACAATTCCTCAGGGATTCCAAAATTGCGTCAAAGGATTGGACATCGATGAACTTTCCAACTTTGCAAGCCTGGGGCTCTCCACCTTCACACCCCCAGGAAAATCAACCGCCTGCAGCCGTCATCAGCTCATGGGAAACACAACTTGCCACGCTCGAAGAACCCCTGGCGCAATCAACTGGGCGCCCCAGCAATTGGTGGTGAAGCGCAGCGGGTGGACCTCGACACCTCGAATCCGGCAACATACGCCGACGGGGCGGTTGACCCAACCGTTGACACGGTGCTGAGCACTGGGTGCTTTTGAAGGACACCCTCTTCACATGGGCTTCAAGGGAAACCAAAAGGAAAACCTAGTCTGACACCTACCAACGTCAAAACCAGCCTAAATACCAAGAGACGTCCGACCAAATGAGCCACCATTCAGTGCAGCCATGTCTTCTCGTAAATACGACAGTCTCATCCAAACGTCCCTCTTGTGAACAAGAAGCACTGATCCTTTAAGAATCTCAGCGGCCATCCGAGAATTCATCAGTTCGTTCTTGCTAACAGTCGCAGCTGGAATCATTGCTGGCTCCGATTTCTAAAACGAAACTACCTCGAATCCACACCGAACTGATGTCCATCAAAGGGTCCCAAATTAAACCGCTGGGCGCCGCAGATGGGCGGCCGGGCCCAGGGTGGGGATGTACTTCTTCTCGAACTCACCTGGCATTCCCGTTGCCAAACAAACCTCCCAGTGCTGAAACCATCGCTTGGACATCCTGGGTGCGGTACGAGAGCTTGCTCCAAATCAACCCACCAAGCCACCAAGCCACCAACCCACCAGCCCACCCACACTCCCATCCACCAACCTACCAGCCCACCAGCCCACCGACCCGCCGACCTGCCAACCCACCCACCCACCCATCCACCCACTAAGCAAGCAAGCAAGCAAGCAAGCAAGCAAGCAAGCAAATAAAAAAAAGAACGAAAGAAAGAAAACAAAAGAACGAAAGAAAGAAATGGACATACAAACCAAACCAAACCACACCCAACCAAGCCAAGCCAAACATGACAAACAAGCAGACCAACAAAACAAACAAACAAACAAACAAGCAAGCAAGCAAGCAAGCAAGCAAGCAAACAAACAAACAAAAACACACACACACACACAAAACAAACAAAAAAGCAAACCAACAAACCAACAAACATACAAAACAAAACAAAACAAAACAAAACAAAACAAAACAAACAAACAATCAAACAAACAAACAAACAAGCAAGCAAGCAAGCAAGCAAACGAGCAAGCAAGCGAGCAAGCAAGCAAGCGAGCAAGCAAGCAAGCAAACCAACAAGCCAACAAGCCAACATACAAGCAAGCAAATAAATATGTTAACACAACAAACGACCAACGAGAAACTACGATGGCCACCACAAACCACCAACAACAAGACAACCACAATCAACAACAACTACCAACAACCAACACCAGCCAACAACTAACAAACCAAAAATCCGACCTGACCCAGCAAACCCAGCCCAACCCCGCCAATCAACTCAGCAGTAGTTGGTCTGGCAACCACTAAGCAAGGGCCTTGCGTGAAACGCGTATTCAGGCAATATGCCTGCCAATGCTATGCACTTCATAGGCAGCGTCGATTGAGAGAAGGCAAGATGCTTCCTTGCAAGCGCATGTTCTCAAAATTGAATTGGTCCTTGCAGTTGTCCGGGCGATTGACACCTCAAATTCGCTCACCTTCGGGCACGCATGGCGCGTAGAGTCTACAGATTGCGCAGGCCATGATTGACGTTCCAAGATCTAGCTGGCAGGGCCAAGCTGAAACTGGACCAATATGCACCGCCATCCCGCCTGTCAAGTGTCGCTTCACCAGCGTGGTCTTGCCCACGCCGCCGTCACCGCAGAGCACGAGCTTGAATTCGGGTCCTTGAAAGGCCGAGAACGCAACAACGCCCTCGGTGGTTGACCAAACGCCAGGTGTCCTTCTTGAGGCGCGTTTTGGCGCCGCCCCTTGGCCCCTCTTGACAACTGAATCTCAAGCTGCTGGTTTGTTTCGTTAGCTTCGCACAAAAACAGGTGCATAGGCGTCATTTGAAAGGACCTCTGATAAACCATGAGCTCAGCACTTCAACCTGTGGCAGCCATTTGCCTATGATCTCATTCCAAGCCCCTGAGCTTGAACAATGAAAATAGGCCCGTAGTACCCGGTTCGAGAGCAGTATGTATATATTGTCCTCACGAGCTTTGTGCCTACTCCTCGCCAATTGCTGATTTGAGAGCAGGGGGCAAGCTTTTGCACAGGAATGCTAAAGACAAAGTGGTCGTGATGGCGAATCCTTGCATCGCAGTTAGTACTGTTTACGAGCCACAGGATTGCTCCAAAGACACCTGGCAGCATGGAAAGTCGGCGCCTAAGCAGAACAGGATGGCAAGACATATAAGGAATAAAGCACATCGGCGAAACAATCAGCTTTGTACTCTTCGGTTTTGCCTTCCGTTGCTTCGCTTGGAGCCATCCCATTCCTCCTTCCACTCACCTGAATGATCCCCCCCCCGCCCGGCCGAATCCTTGGGCGAGTTTCTGTGGTTCCAGGAAGGACCATAAACCACAAAAACTAGAAGCCCTTGACAATTCTGAAGGGTCCGTTTGCACTCTCCAATGATTCTAGGAGTACCTTCCCCATTCTTTCAGGGATCCTTCTTTTCAGGAAATCATCAAAAACCAGGGGAAACAGCCAGTTTTTGAAAAGAACACTGGTTGAAAAGAATGGGGAATCAACCCCAAGAGCGATGTCCCCTATTGGTGTCTCGATCGGCCGGACTGATTGCCTCCAGGAGCTGCCATCTCTCCGTGCAGTTCTAACCACGCCAGAATTGGTGGCAATGTCACTGGGCCAACGCGGCGACAGGTACAGCTGGCAGAATTTTACTGCAAGCAAGGAACAAAGGAACGAAGGAACGAAGGAACGAAGGAACGAAGGAACGAAGGAACGAAGGAACGAAGGAACGAAGGAACGAAGGAACGAAGGAACGAAGGAACGAAGGAAGGAAGGAAGGAAGGAAGGAAGGAAGGAAGGAAGGAAGGAAGGAAGGAAGGAAGGAAGGGAGGGAGGGAGGGAGGGAGGGAGGGAGGGAGGGAGGGAGGGAAGGAAGGAAGCAAGGAAGGAAGGAAGGAAGGAAGAAAGGAAGGCAGGACAAGTGAAAAAACACTCATGAAAGGATGAAAGGATGACCTTGGTAATAAAGGGACAGTCCTTGGAATAGCGTGGTCTGCCAAACCAGGCGTACCCCGCAAACCAGCAGGCCTTGAGCTGATCCAGGACGCCAACCTTTCCAACCTCCATTGAACACTCAAAAGGACTGACTTGGTTCTACCAAGTTGTTCCTTCAACCGGGTCGCCAACCTGTGATCTCGGCCTCAAGGAATCTGTGCACTGCTCAAATGGGAGTTTCTCGAGATGGGCTTTGGACCCGCTGGCTGGCTTTAATGGGAAGCCAAATGGAAATCAGCCATTTTAGGGGTCAATGTTCTATTTTGAGAAACCCCCAGATTCGATACCTCGGCTCGCCGGAACACCAGCCATTTTCTCTCACTGCAAGCTGCTGGGGATCTGCCCCGACAGACTTCGCAGCGCCGAGACCGCGCCAGCCTGCCATGGGAAATGTGTGGAGAGCTCCGCTCTGCAAACTGTTGTGAAAGGAAAGAGCAATGAGTAGATGCTGTGTTTGACAATTCTTTCCCCTAACGCTGCATGCAGAGTTGCACTCAGGTACACCTACCCTTGTTTGAGGCACAAGTAGACCCAATGGCAAATCTCGTTCAACAAGCTCAAGATAGCACGCGTTACTCCTCGTCAGAAGAATCTTCACAAGGAGGACCTCACTGGTACTTGGTGCTTTGGAGGTGGCACTTAGGGGTAAAAGGCCTTTCCATTTACCATTCAATACAAGCCAACTTCCGTTGCCCATACAAAGTGGCACGCCCAAAGTCGCGTGGCTGCCAACTTTGGAACAATAGCTGTGACCCTTGATGGTCAATGGCCACCTGGTACTCACTCACGGTCACTGGGCTGCAAAGGCTCATCGCGCTACTCACAAAAAATACTATCCCAAAGGAAAATTGGTATATACCTTTTGCATGGGTGTGAGTTTTAATGGAGGAGCCTCTGGTGGACATCAAAAAATCGGGATTCATATCCACCAGCCTCCTTTGAGGTGGTTCGAACTCATAAAAAAACTCACGGCATATCAAACCGCGCCACACCTCAAAAAACCCAAAACAGCCGGGGGTTGAAAAGATCCGCGGCATCCGCGGCGGCGCCCGGCCTCCTTGAGCTTGGGCACCAGCTCCGGCACCTCCGCCAGGTTCGCCAGCGCGGCGGCGGCCCGAAAGGCGCAGTCAGAACCCGCTCCGCACAAAGCCACCAGGGCCGGAATGCCTCAAGGGAAGGTGCACTGAAAAGAAAAAGTTGTGGCCGAAGTCAAGAGATGCTTCGGACAGTGTTGGAAGAACAGAAAAGACCATCCGAGAAAGAAACTTGCAATTCGGCGGGGGGGTGCATCAAGGTGACGGTGCTTTACCCGACCGCGCGTCCCTTTACGTCCGAAGCCGACGTCTCGCTGCCCGCCTCCCGCGCCAGCCACCGCCTCGGCGCCTGGACGGTCCGCCGCGATGTTCCGCAGCCTCAAGGCCCGGCCGACCCGACGGCCCGACGGCCCGGCACCCGGCCCGGCACCCGAGCTCATGGGGGCTGACCGCTGGGGGAAATCCCACAGCTTGCAACTTTGCAGTGCTCCAGATGTTTGCTGGAAGTGTGGGAAGTGTGCCAGGCTGACTTCCAGGAAGAAGCCCGAACAGCCCAGCAACAAATCGATCTGCCTGGATTTGGGGGAAGTTGCTTCGCCAAGTGTGAAAGAGACGCCTGCAGCACATGCAAAAGCGAAACTTCGCACAAAGTGTTGCACAAAGTCCTCTCAAGTGCAACATATTTTGGCTCAAGAAACCTCAAAACATCAAGCATCATCAAACCCATCAATCAAACCAGATGAGCTACAGCCATCTAAGACCATTGCAACAATTGCAACCCTCGACCAAAGGGTCCAGGTCCAAGTGGCGTCTGTGCTGCTGCTGCTGCCACCTCTTGCTGCACCTGGGCCAAAGGAGGTTCACGCGAGCTGGGGCACTCTGGCTAATAATTGTTTTTTGTGCTGCTCCTTGTGTGTCCTTCAGTGTGCTCATCTTGCTTCACAACGGCTCCGCGAAACAGCAGCAGTGGCATAGAGAGTTCCCGAAACAGCGAACCATTGCTATGGTACGCAGGCCATACCATGGATCAAAGAACGAATTGTGTGCTTTCCATTCACGACACTGGCCATGAAACGCATGCCGGAAACTCCCGGCACGTTAGTTGTGTTTGTGCCGGTGCTGCATACTTCTCTTTCCATAGCACTTCCCAGGCAGAAACACTACCTTGGAGATGCAGCAACAAAAGGATCTGATCGCTGAAACTTGATGCGATTCATGGACTTTACTGCAGCAAGGAGATGATAGCCCGTACTCCAGCTTCAACAACGGACCAAATTGGCCTCCTGGTTGGTCGTGTGGCCAACACCGCTACTTCAGAAGCTTGCCCACACCATGTCGCTCGCTGAAACTGCGTCAAATCCAGCGGATGCGGCAATCTGTTTGGAACATTCCAACCAGCGGCGATGCACAAAAAGAACAGACCAACACGCGCTCTGGAGCATGATTGAGATCTTGTCCGTCCTCTGTTGCAGTGGTTTAAGGTAGAATTCCACGTTTGTCATGTCCTGAAAGCTGTCTCTCGCTTCTCACGTGATGGTTGGTGCTTTGTTGACAGATGAGTAGCGGACTTGATTGTCTTGGTGATTACCTAATTGGCATAAATTGGTTTGACAAAAGCACAACCTACTAAGTCAACCATCCCAAGCAACCCTCACGCCGCGCGTCGATCCGTTGGCCGCGCCTCCAGCAATCGAAGGAGCCGCGGCACGGCCCCAAAGCGCACGGCCAGGTCCCGGTGCTCCCGTGCGCCGCAGCAGTAGTCCTCAGAGCTTGCGCGAAGTGCTGAAAAGCGCAAGGCTGCCCCTTGATTCATACCTTATGCAAAAAACAACAAAAAGGTACATGATGGGGCCCACAGTCTAAGAACACTGGCAGCGCAAGAAGGGATGATCATTGCCCACCGGAGCCGACCAAGCGAGCAAAGCTCTCAAACAACAGCGCTGCCAACTCCGGCAGCCAAAAGGGAAAACAAAGGGATAGTTGTCTGTATTTCGGGATTATGGCTGCCCCCAATCGCGCTCACCCTCCTTCGAGGGGACCTTGCCTCATGCCGTCGAGCCGACATGTGGCTAAGCAGCCGGTCAGGGCCCACAGCGCTGCTGGGGGCTTTTGTATTTCTATGTGTATTTATGTATATATTATCGAGATACAGTTCTTCCCAGCTTTCCACTTTTGTCAATCGATTTCCGTGACTCCGCGCCTTTTTTCCCCCACTGCGTGGAATTCTCCGCACTCCATCGCCGACGTCACCCGCCGAGAGGCGCCGGTTGTTGGTTTTGGGGAGCTTCTCACAGCGTAGGTCGCCGCCCCCAGCACGGCCCGTCATGAACCGCGAGATTTGGTTCATGATGCCCTCGAAGGTGAAGTGGCTCTCCTCACGGGGACGCAGAAGGAAGCCAAAGGCCCCGAGGAAACCAAACGGAAAGAACAAACGGAGCACATTCTAGAATTCATTTTTCCCCCGCCAAAGGTTGACCCAGAGTGCGGCAAAGTAAAGAGGGAGCCCTTCCTAAGAATATACCTCCCCGAAAAACCTCCGCCGAGGCACGCGCAGCTCCCGAATCCGCTTCTCCATGGCCTCTAGGCGCCCCACGTCTGAAGCAGCGCGCTCCAGGGTGGCCGACAGGTTCTCCGGCGTCGTGTAGAAGCCGATCATCTCCTGAGCCGAGCTGAGCCCAGACCGACGGCCGACAAAAACATTGGCGGCCAGCAAAGAGGCAACAACCAACAACAGCAACCACCACCGCCACCAATAACAACAACCACAACCACAACCACAGCAACGACGATGACGACGACCACAACAACAACAACAACAACAACAACAACAACAACAACAACAACAACAACAACAACAACAACAACAACAACAACAACAACAACAACAACAACAACAACAACAACAACAACAACAACAACAACAACAACAACAACAACAACAACAACAACAACAACAACAACAACAACAACAACAACAACAACAACAACAACAACAACAACAACAACAACAACAACAACAACAACAACAACAACAACAACAACAACAACAACAACAACAACAACAACAACAACAACAACAACAACAACAACAACAACAACAACAACAACAACAACAACAACAACAACAACAACAACAACAACAACAACAACAACAACAACAACAACAACAACAACAACAACAACAACAACAACAACAACAACAACAACAACAACAACAACAACAACAACAACAACAACAACAACAACAAACAACAAACAACAAACAACAAACAACAAACAACAAACAACAAACAACAAACAACAAACAACAAACAACAAACAACAAACAACAAACAACAAACAACAAACAACAAACAACCAACAACCAACAACCAACCACAAACCACAAACAACCGACCACAAACCACAAACAGCAAACAACAAACAACAAACAACAAACAACAAACAAACACACACAACAAACAACCAACCACAAACAAACACACACAACAACAAACAACAACAAACAACGACAAACAACACCAAACAACAACAAACAACAACACTCCGATTGGGTGTCGCCTCGCGCTTTTTCAGGCCAGAGTTTTGTTTCAGTCTTACACTGCCACAGCCATGAGATACAGTGCTCTTACTGCGCTCGAGCGGGTGTTCAAGCCATTTGGCTGGCATGGATACAGTGATGCGCAGGTTCGATTGAACGGGTGTTCTTACCATTTGGCTGGCGCCCATGCAGTTCTGCGCGGGCGCTTGAACAGGTGTTCGTACCATTTGGCTGGCATGGCCACAGTGCTGCGCGGGTGCTCTTGAACTGTTCTTTCCATTTGGCTGGCAGGGATACAGCGCTGCGCGGGTGCAGTTGAACGGGTGTTCTCTGGAAGGGATACAGTGCTGCGCTTGAACAGGTGTTCTTACGATCTGGCTGGCATGGACACAGTGCTGCACGGGTGCACTTGAACGGGTGTTCTTACCATTTGGCTGGCAGGAAAACAGTGCTGCGCGGGTGCACTTGAAAGCGCGCGGCGACACCCCATCGGAGACAACAACAACAACAACAACAACAACAACAACAACAACAACAACAACAACAACAACAACAACAACAACAACAACCAACAACCAACAACCAACAACCAACAACCAACAACCAACAACCAACAACCAACAACCAACAACCAACAACCAACAACCAACAACCAACAACCAACAACCAACAACCAACAACCAACAACCAACAACCAACAACCAACAACCAACAACCAACAACCAACAACCAACAACCAACAACCAACAACCAACAACCAACAACCAACAACAAGCAAGCAAGCAAGCAACAAGCAACAAGCAACAAGCAAGCAAGCAAGCAAGCAAGCAAGCAAGCAAGCAAGCAAACAAACAAGCATTCAAACAAACAAACAAACAAACAAACAAACAACAAACAACAATTAGGAAACTGCAAACAGCAAACAGCAAACAGCAAACAGCAAACAGCAAACAACAAACAACAAACAACAAACACCAAACACCAAACACAAACAGCAAACAGCAAACAGCAAACAGCAAACAGCAAACAGCAACAACAACAACAACAACAACAACAACAACAACAACAACCACGAACACGACAACGACGACGAACAACACGACGACGACAACGAACAACAAACAACGACAACGAACAACAACAACAACAACAACAACAACAACAACAACAACAACAACAACAACAACAACAACAACAACAACAACAACAACAACAACAACAACAAACAACAACAACCACAACCACAACCACAACCACAAACAACCACAACCACAACCACAACCACAACCACAACCACAAACAACCACAACACATAACAACAACAACAACAACAACAACAACAACAACAACAACAACAACAACAACAACAACAACAACAACAACAACAACAACAACAACAACAACAACAACCAACAACCACAACCACAACCACAACCACAACACAACAACACAACAACCACAACCACAACCACAACCACAACCAACAACAACAACAACAACAACAACAACAACAACAACAACAACAACAACAACAACAACAACAACAACAACAACAACAACAACAACAACAACAACAACAACAACAAATGCCAAGAAGAACAGCAAGACCAACACGAACAATGAAACCAGACAAACAAAAAGGAACAACAATAACTAGAACAACAAGAAAAACAAGTTGGAGAATAATAGATACAAAAAAGAAGCAACACAATCAACAAGAACGGCAAAAAACAACAAGCAAGAACAACAAGAACAACAAAAGAACAACAATACATGAGAAGGAGAACAAGAATAACAAACAGAACAGACGGAACAAGCAAGAACAAAAGACGAAGAAGAAGAAGAAGAAGAGGAAGAACAATAAACCACGAAGAAAAACAAGATCAAGAAGAATCAAAACATTAGGGAAAACGATATGAGCAAGAAGAACAAGAAGAACAAGAAGAACAAGAAGAACAAGAAGAACAAGAAGAACGAAATGACTAACATGACCAAAAGGAACAACAAGAACAACAAAGATGAGAAAGAAAGACGGACAAAAGCAAGTACTATAAGAGATAACAATGCGGTCGCATGGCCAGCAGACGGCTCGTCAGGGTGAACATCTGACTAATATTTCCCGGAAAGGAGGCAGGTTTGACAGTTATGACCGGATCCAATTTAACACAAATTCAAGAGCTACCGACAACTCCGGCCAAGATGTCCTTGATTGCCTAACAATGGCCGTTGGACATATCTCTCCAGGGGTGGGTCTAACCCCCGTTTGTGATTCTCCTCAGTAGGCTTGCAGTGAACACATGACATGCACAAGTTTCAGGCCCAACAAATTGCTTCAGCCATAGTTCCTCCTCCAAATGAAACTCACCAAGTGAAACTCATTAGGCCAAACATTTCAGATTAAGAACTGGCTGCAAATGCGACTTTGGTGAGACGCCGCCAGGGCAGTACCCGCAACCCCCCAGCCTGCTCCCAAAAGTCGCGATAGAAGAGCCAGGGCAGGTCATCGTAGACGTACACTGGAATCCTTGACTGCCAAAGCTCTCGGCCCACGCACAGGGGGCGGGGGCCTGTTTAACTGCGTGTGTTCCTTAGCGGAAAGTGAAAAAAACAAAGCATACTTGGTGGTTGACAGTTAGTAGACAGAGCCTTGGATGCTCGGAAGGGGTCTTCGCCTTGTTTAATCCTGCCCCTTTGAATTAGACACTGCACGGCCGCGCAATCACCGCTCCTCGAATTTTCGAGTATTGCAAGGAGTGTCCCCAAGCGCGGCTGCGTTGGCACCGCACAACTTTCACCGCGCGTTGACCCGCCGCAGCCTTCCAAATTTATGGTGTCAACAGCTTTCAGGTCGCATATTCCACCCCTTTCGCCACGAGCAGACCCGCGGCCTTCCAATGCATTTATGCCGTCAAAAGTTTAAAAGTTTGCTCACATTCGCGCCCCTTTCAAAAGCCTTTGGGTCATGTATGTGTACATATATATATATATATATATCAATCTATCTATCTATCTATCTAAATACCTATACAATATATGACAGCCTTTTCACTGCAAGCGAAGCCTCTGTGTTCCAAATGGGCCTCAAAATGTGTTGGGTCTTTTACTGCGCCCCTTTCACCACGAGTCTCCGGACCAAACCCCACCAGCACGCAAACGATATGACGCTCATCGGACGCGCCTTTGCAGCCTCTACCAAAGCCGGCTCCACCGGCACCCATTCT